TCAGAACCTATACATGACATTCTAGTTTTACTATATTATATGCAGGGTACATTTACTATTCAAAGTCAATGATTAAACATTATCCCGCATAGACTAAACAAATAACTGAAAAGGAGTTTTTTCAATATTGTCCTTATGGATCCGCTGAATGCAATTTTCAGGTTAGTTTTGTCCTGATTATTGAATTAAAGGGCGTTCATTAGTTTAATGTTTTTATTTATTTTTCTGCCAAATTTAAAATTACTTTGCCTGAATATGGAAATATATTTGTTAACTATAGCTTGTTAACTTAAGGAAACAGACTTCTTTAAAACAAAGAGAAAATAAATACTTATGGAGTAAATTCGGAAGTAATACCGATATGGCTTGGATGAAAATAGAAAGAAAAGTTGAATGTATTGATCTTAAACTGAAAAGATTTAAGTTGAGAACTACAACGAGTTAACTAAAGTTCATCGTATCTGATTGGTGTTGGAGCTAAAAATAAGCTGAACCTAACTGACACTAACATCTGATTGTTTTATTTAACCCTATCTATACAGGGTGATTGATATAAGTGTGCCAGCCATTTTATTCAAAAACTATAAGAGATATAAAAAAAAGTTAAATGGTAAGTGCCTTGGATTTTTTATTTAAAAAATTGTAGTCAAGTAAAAAAAAATATTTTAGCCGCCATTTTTCCAGTATGGCCACCAACTTTGATTTTTCTCACGAAACACCCTGTATTTTATGATGTATTCTGGTAGAAAATGTAATTTTAAGACGATTTTATTCTTGTATTTTTTTTCATAAACCTAACCGTTTCAAAGATAATAATGGTTAAAGTTTTGAAATTTCTGCATGAAAAAGAGTTTCGATAAATGCCTAAGCAAGCAAGCCAGCTGTTTTATTCGAAAACCATTCAAAATTTCACAACTTAAACCATTATTATCTTTGAAACGGTTAGGTTTATGAAAAACATTACAAGAATAAAATCGTCTTAAAATTACATTTTCTACCAGAATACATCATGAAATACAGGGTGTTCCATAAGAAATATCAAAGTTGGCGGCCTTATTGGAAAAATGGCGGCTAAAATAATTTTTTTGACTTGACTATAATTTTTTAAATAAAAAATCCAAGGCACTTACCATTTAACTTTTTTTGATATCTCTTATAGTTTTCGAATAAAACGGCTGGCACACTTATATCAATCACCCTGTATATTAGGCAAGCTTGTTTCTTTAAAACCTGTTTTCTCAGCTCGTGTGCATCGCAGGGAAAATCTACGCATACTGATAGAAAGATATTTTCCTGTAGATGTGCAGAATCCCTTTCAAACCTCAAATAGGCTCAAATATAAGCACAGACAATTAATTTCAAATTTAAAAAATAATTAACATGGGCTTTATGTGTTGCCATGCTGGTGACGAAATAACAACGAAATATAAACAGAAAATGAAACAAATGAAATAAATTGCAATCACATGTTTTATTTACAGCGTGGGGTGGAAATAGAGAAGCCTGTTAATTTGACTTACAACTGCGACATTCCATCCCCATGTTAAAAATGTCGCCAGTTTTTTATTTGAATTCGTCGTAGGCCTAGTTGATGTGAGCCACCAACAGATTGCGCTGATCTAAATGACAAAGTCAAACTTATGGAATGACAGCAACTGTTATGACCCATCAACTTTGTCAGTGACAAAAAATTAGATATAAAATATAATTTTAGACACGCATACTGTAACTGGTTCAGGTTCACACAACTACATGTTTTTAATTAAAAAAATGGTGAAAACTGGTCCATATGGATGGAATATTTACTTCAGTATCCAATATTCAATGCGGGTGCATTAGATATTTTTGGACGATTTTTCGACCACTGGACGACCACTAAATTGAAAATGTAATTTTCGATTATTCACTTTAGTATGTGTTGCGTTTTGCATTTAAACATAAACACATTTACCAAAATCATACTAATCGACCTTGTATGAATATTATTCATGTTTCTAAATTATCAAATCAGGAATGGTTATCAACTCGGATCTTTTAGGGAATTGCATAGAGACCAGTAGAGTAGGAAATGTTTGATTCGTCTTCTTATTTTTGCAGGCCAGTATACAACAAAAGTACTACGTAAAAAATTTTAAAACGTTTACAAGTATTGTAATAATCACTAAGTAAAAATTACTGGGCTCATCTGTGAACCTTGTGTACTCCATCAACTGAAATGTTTTGTATCACATTTTCACTGCTGCATTATCGTACTGCGGCTGTCTTTCAATTAAAGAATTAATATATCCGAATATTACTATATAGGGGAGGACCTATGGCTGATTTGTACGTAATTGTACGAGTAATATGAAAACTTCTCATTGCAACAATCTTCTGTCAATCCTTTTTTTCTGCTGATATTCAACTAAATGAGGAGGTTTTGCTAGTTCCATGATTACAAACTCACCTATTCATGAAATATAGCCTTTGAAATACTTGAGTCAAGTGGAAGTTGATGGTATTAGCATAGATAAAACATACTCCCTTTGTAGATTTCTCATCCTAATGGAACAGCTGAAGACAATTTTATTGTTAGTTCTGTACGGTTTATGTTAGAGGTCGTGTTTTGTTTACAATTTGTTTCCCGTTGATACACTCATTTAAAACCTCGTTTAACCAAATAATACGATCTAATCATAAACAATAAATTGTCCCCTAGTTATTTAACCAAACAGTAAAGCACAAATCAAGAAATTAACCCTAAAATAATACTGTAGAAACAAAATTTCGTCGACACTAGCGCCCAGTGTGGCATACATGAACTAGACAAACGAGCTTCAAAATTTACAATGGGATGAGAAGTCTACTTGTGTTGGTTAGTCTATGGTATTAGTGAGTTTATGAGTAATCTCAACTGACAACTGTTTTTTAACATTTCGTATGGAGAAGAAGAACGCAAGGTTATTATTTTTTGCATTTTAGACATATCATGTACATTATTATGTTTAAAGAGATATGAAAACAACATAACCTTACCCCCAAAAAACTTGCATGGATAAATAAATCTCAAAAGACCCCCACATCAAAAGGTCAAAATTCTAAACAATTTGTTTTACTAAAGATCGTTTTTAGTAACGTTTGTTCTGAAATCCTTCAATTAATTATTATCTATTGACTGCGGTTAAACATTACAGTTTTGCAAATACCCTGCATGTTATAAAAATGCATACTATAACCTAAAAGTAAGTATTTTTAATTTACATCATTTCTTCACATGAGGATGGTTAGTTATAGACGTTGCAAACAAAAAGTCATCGTCTAGGTCAAGTATAACAACTGGAATGATAATTACTGGAAACTTTCAAGGAAACCTTTTTATAGCATTCCACTTGCCTTACGTTGTCCACCATTTTCAATGTGTCACAACATGACCAACACTAATTACACATGTTTCCACAGTTTTCTACTTATCTTTTTCTTCCATGAAACATTCTTTACTTTACGGATTTGCTAAAACCGTTTACAAATCCACAAGTATGACAGATTTAGGATGAAACACCAGCCACAACTCTAGTTTTTTTTATTGCCAACATAATAGAATCTGAAAAAATAATTCGTCAGTTAAAAAATTAGATAAACTATGGAGCTGATGCAATGTCCCATCTTGTGCTTGTGAAGCACTAATTTCATCATGAACAATTCCTCATTCCATTGCGCTGAAATTTGCAGTTGTCAGGCCAATTCTCAAAAGTGGTGACCACACGATACGAAATTTGATGATTATAGGCCCATTTCTATGTGCCCGACTTTGTCTAAAAATCAGAAAAGGATATTGTGAAAGCCCTTTGGATATTTGCCGAGAACAATATAACTTACTAAGATCGGCATGAATTGTGTAATGTAAACATACTACCAGTGCCATATTTTCTTTCCTAAACTAAGGAGTGCAGGATTTCGTTACGAAGAAAAAACTCAATGGGTATTTTCTTAGATTTAAGTAAGGCTTTCGACATGGTTGACCACGACCTCTTGCTAGCCAAATTAAACAATATGGGCGTCCAAAGGAGTTGCTTCTGATTGATTTTCGTAAATCCGAACTCTGGTAGCCCGACATTGGATAAATAAACTCAACATTACAACAGTGATAGAACACAACACTGATAATGGAGTACACAAGGAGCACGTATAACTCCACTTATCTTTACTCTTTTTACAGTACTTGCGAACTAGGCTACAGCTAACTTATAACGAGATAAATATGCCTACCGCAATTCAAATGAAAGTGAATTGACTGTCGGTCGTGCAAGTTTCAAACGGGTGTGCCGGTGTGCCAGGTGGTGGGCACTGGGCTCCCTTATGTGTTTTCGTATTTGCATTGCGTTGTGCAATTGAATCCATGAAATTTGGAGAGTAAATACAAATTTGTATTAGTTAAATAAATTCATATTGTATGTTCACAATCTGTATAGTGTACTAAAGATTAATCCGTGAAGGTGGGAGGTAGAATATTCCATATTCCATTCCAATAAGTGAATTCTAGGTCAAGCCTCATTTCTTGATCCGTATCAAAGCCAACTGAACAAATGCGTTGCACTGCGGTCAACTAGTCTAGTAATTGCACACTCGCAATAGGTTACCTAAAGGTTTAATCCGCAAAAGGTTGCTTGAAAATTTCACCGCAATCACCATACGCCAACAAATTTACCACCGCAATAACATAATAACCCGGCTAATTATACAGTTTTATAATCCACCTTATCTGAAGGTAATTAGCCTTGTCAATCAACCGTGGCCGGTAGCCACTATCTGAGCGGGATCAAATTCAAGTAATTTACCAACAATGCACAGAGTGAGAGAGACAGAAGAGAGGGAGAGAAAAGTGAGACAAAATCAGAATCACATAACCGAGGAGTACGGCACGAGGGCGGGGCGGGGGAGGTCTGCCATTGTTGACGGCGTGACGTGGCACGCGGTGATTGGTCGATGCGAGAGAAGGCGTGGCCTATCACAAAGCGATGGGGTGGGGGGAGTGCAGTCGGCACCGGAGCATCAGTAGTGCCGCAGCGACAGTGCAGTAGTGTGGTGTGAATGTGTGTCGGGCACGTGAGTGAGATGGTCGGCTAAGGACGGCAAAACGGAGTACCTGTCGGTGTCGGGATGTGGGGCGGCACCCGGGGCGGCTGTGTACGGGGGTGAGCCGCCCCCCGCCCCCACCATAGCCATGAACCAGCTGGGCACCGTGTACGCCACCAAAAGACGACGGAGGAACGGAAAAAGGTACTATCAGTGGTGATAAGAAATTGTCAGGGTAGAAGGTTCCAAGGGAATGCTAGGTATCCCCCATGGGAAATTACCCCATGGGGTAATGAGTGAAAATGTGGTGCTCCCATATCCCTATAGAGTGGTTAAATTTGTAAACGAGACGAGCACCCCTAAATGAGAAAAGGGGTAAACCACCCATGCGGTTAACACCCTGTGGTTGCGTAAAACGTAAATTGCACGACGAAAATTTAGAAAAAAGTACTCCACATGCAACACCGGGGATCTCCGGTTTGATAACGTCATGATTGTAAAATGTCTAGTTCATTGATGTATTGGTTGTATAGCGGTTTAAAAAATGCATTTAAAAACTCCCATTCGTTTCATAAATAGGCTTCATTTCAGAACTAGAATAAAATTCGCCCCTCTTCTCAACAAAAGTTGAACTTCTATATGTTTGCTCATCATCTTCTTTCCGGCTTTTAAGACTTATACACATTACAAGTTGTTACACGTTAAATTTATACTAAGTTAATTATTTCACACTGATAAATCATTACACATCCAGGAATTCGTTGGACCAAAGTGGATCTGTATAGAAAAGTACACTATAGTATTGTCAAAATTCCATTGATATTAATGAAGTTTAAAGTTAATTTAAAACAAAATTGCTTTCTCAAATGAGAGCGGTTTTACTAAATCTAATTACTTCGTATTTTAAGCTCGCACATTTAAGCTTTCACATTTAAGATTCGGTCTAAAAATCCTATGTAACGGTAACAGTAATGAGTTACAGTATGTATATCATACAAATCTCTTTGTAATTTTCATTTATACTTTGAATCCCAGAATCCGTTTCCTGTTTGTAAAGTAGATGAATCCCACTTTTGAAATTCTTCGCTAAAATCAATGAGGAAGAATCAATAAATAATGGTTATTCTTTGGTAATGATGACAGCTTTAGATACACTTTTTCGGGGCTTTTATCAGCATACAAAATTCTGTTTAGTGTCATAGAGTACAACTAATAACATCATTATCGAACACGCACATGGATCGAATAGAACAACTTTGTATGCAACTTTAAGTCAGTTGATTGTGTTAATTTTTCTTTCACGTGTTAAAATTTGGATTAGTTTAGGATCCTAAGTTGACACCAAGAAAAGAAACATAACACCATTACTAGAAACAACTAAGGTAGGGCCTTTTTACGGACAAGATTATACCTACTCTACATAAACAACAGATTTACTTCATACCAGTAATTAGCTTTACCTGAAATGATGCTACTGAACTATCCCTAACTATACAAACAGAAGGACTTGTTTAAAAAAGGTTTATCATTTAAAAAAATATAGAATTTGCATGCACGTTTAGGTATAACTCGATGATGAAAACTGAAAAGAAAAGGGCCAAGTATTGACCCCTGTGGTACGCCATATTTAACCTCAGTTTGTTTCGGGAAGGAGTGTTTGAAAAAAAAAACCTGTTTGCTGTCAAATATTGACGTATGATCTTAAGAGGGAATTTTGAATACCAATTATCCAATTAAATAAAATCTTAAGTCCCACCCAGTCAAAGGCATTGATAGTTAGGTTACTTAAGAATTGCGCCTCTAGGTTGACCTCTAGTTGTTTCTATCCTTATTTGTAACCAACCTGTATCTGAATTATGTTTAGTTAAAGTGACTTTTGCTCTGTTTTACTTGTGTGTATTTGTTGGCTATAAAAATGTTGATTCCACCCAAAACATTTATTTAAACTATTTCCTATCACAAATGAACTTGTTCCATTGTAAGATTAAACCCGTGAAAACCATCTTTTGAAATGGTATAAATAAACAATGTGAATATGTATTATCTCGAATATTAGGATCTTATTTTTGTGTTCACCTAATTTTGGAACAACACTAACCTATCATAAATGTAATTGAAATTAGATTAAAATCAAAATTTTAACATAAACCACATTCAAGGTTATAAACATGTCATCTTCAATAAACTATTACACACATCTTATATCTCAGAGTTGTAGCTTGAATCAAATGAGCATATTTTAACTACATATAGCAGCCCGAAATCCCAAACCCAGCAGCCCGGCGGGAGCTACCCACTGCCCACAAGACAGGAAGCCAAAATATCAAATTTCAAATAGACCATCCTGCATTATCTGATGCCCCAAAATTTACATGTGTCCTTCACAGGCGATGAGCGGAATATCATAGTTTACTTTAGGTTTTGGGTTTCTAGTGAACCTGTTAGTAGGCCAGTTTATTTTAAAGGGGAGGGTTATTTTTCTTAAAAATCTACGAGTGAAAATTAACCTTATGATTTCTCAGTAATTTATTGTGTGGTTATTTTGTTCTCTTCTTTGAACAACAAATGCAAATTGACAAAAAATTCACCAAGAAGGCTGAGCAGGTTTGCTGCAATGGGGTTATTTTATTTATACACAGTACATACTGGTTAAATAAGTGCATATTCAAACAGTGTTGTTTTGGCAAATTATTGTAAAATAATCAATAACAATGCTAGCATTCTCATTTTGTATGAACCAACATTAGTCTTATGAAGTTAATTACAGACTAAATAAAGTAAATTACATCCTACACCATAAAGAATTGATCAATTAATCTGAAAATCATACAATTTAACAGAGAAAAGATCATTTTAACTGTGACAAAGTACTGAAAGCCTGCTATAGCCAGTCATAAAATTGTAGTTTTGTTTAGTTGAATACCTGATAATTGATATTTTTTAACGTTATTAATATACCAATAATCTACAGTAAAATAAGTACAATCAATTATATAATTGATTCCTTAGGATGCGTTGTAGTTTTTTAGTATATTTTGTATCATACTCGAGCAAATGTAAAGGAATAAAATCCAAAGGAAAAGATGTCCACTGCGTTCGTCTAATGGCTATTATTCCGTTACTTGTATTCTACTCATTTTATATTATTTTAAAAATCTCATAAATTATTTACCAAAAAGGCAAAGTTACCCTGATCCCCAAGTTGCAAGCAGCGTCGAGCGTCTATTTTCCAGCCCTGTCCTTACATCGTCACAGCTTCGTTAATCAACATGCTGAGAGAGCTAATTAAGTAGTAGTAGAGTACTTTAAAATCAATAATTTAGCTTAGTATTTAATTTAAAAAGTTCATCAATACTACATTGCAATACTGGTTCAGTAAAAAACTTCAATCATGGAAGCTTTGACCAGATCCCGGAATTGAAGAATCATCTTTAGATGTGTGATAATTCGGTACGAATTAAATATCAAAAAAGCTTGTGGTTCGGAACCCATCGTGCTCTGGATCCTCTTGGAAAAAAGGAAACATTTCTCAGTCGAGAGACACTTTTAATTTCAAAAAACCCCTTCCGTTTCAATTCATACGATTATAACGATATTTTACTTTCATCATCTGCCCATTGTTATTGGACAATTTCTCCAGGCTTTCCAGTGCATTCATTATTAGGCTAAAACTATTTTCTTACTCTATATACGGTTATGAAAGACCTATTAACAATTCCAAGAATAAAAGTAAATCTGTTGGCAAAAGGATGTTTTTCCATAATTTAGCAGTAATTCTGTAGTTATACCAAAACGTATAGGCCCTACGTCATCATTGTGAAATCTCATAATTGATTTTGAAAGCAGAACAAAATTATGCAAGTACAGTAGAACCTTGATAACAAGACTCTCATGGGTACTGTAAAATAAGAATTGTTATCAAGGTTTGTTACAACATGTGATTAGGGGTAAAATCATTTTTATGGGATTTGAAAATGACACTTGTTATCAAGGGCAACTTGTTATCAAGGGTCTTTTTATCAAGGTTCCACTGTAATTAAGTAGTCAAATGTATTTTATTAACTGTGTCCCTTTCAAATAGTTAATATGCTTAACTTCTAAGCTGTTGAGTGCTTAACATTGACTTAGTTACTTAGATGGATACTGTAAAAATACTTGTCCTACTGTTACTGTAAATTCTAAAACTTGGTTTAATCATCGTTTCACGTTCGATTAAAGAATGCTGATGTTGACTTAATCTTTTGTCACATTGGAGAATATTGCAGTGCGAAAATCAATCTTTTCACCACACTATGATGTATTAGCCGGATTTTAGCCGTTTTACAAACGTTAATTGGAGGCTGAAAGCTACGTATTGTCCATGCCAGCTGTCATCGTCATTCGGTGACCGAGGAGGTTTTTACATCCCTAGGGCCGAAAATCAGCTGTTAGCTTATATATTGAAAACATTAATGTACATTAAATACACAATCAGTCCATATTATGCATTGCAATAGACTTGTTTTATTGTCACCGCTGCCTAACAACTATTTATTATTATTATTGATTCCACTAAATATTTCTTGACCTTTAAGTTGTTGTAGTTGTGTGATTTATTGTATATAGGCTATCTTCTCAATTTTGTATAGTGTGGTGAAAAGTTTGTACAACGGGCCGAAAAGGTTTTGCAGCTCTTGATCGTTTCAAGTTCTCGACTTTGTTTCGAACTTGAAAACTGATTTCGAGCCGGAAAACTTAATTTTCGGCCCTAGTTACGAAATATACTATTGTGTACATTACCAGAGCAGTTGGTTTTAAAAAAGTAGTTCTACTGGGGACTGTTTCACAATAAACTACAAACTAATATTACAAGTAAATCAGCTGATAACCCAAAGCAAATCTAATGAGAATTCATGCTGTATTCTACAATAGGGCCAAAAACCATTTACTTTACGTTGACCTAGTAAAACACGGCGTAATAAACGATTCATTAAACCTAGAGACGATTTCTCTTTTCCATAATTTTTTATCGCGTCTAAAACAAGGATTATAACTAGAGTTAACTAGTGCTAACTAGCCGCCAGTAACGGGATAGTTATATCCGAGTAAAAGAAACTGAGGGTAATTAAATAACAAAATGCAGCGAAATAATTACGATAACAAGCGCCTCAGCGAACCATACACAAATAAAATTAGTCGAATAGAAAACCACATGTGCCACCTGG